AAAGCTTTAAAAATGTTTGAGGACTACCAGGTAACTGACCACCCTCGTATCAATCCAACTGACAGCAATTGATGTTATTTTCAACAAGAAAAATATCTTCAGTACGCTTGGACTAAACGACCTAAATCACGTTATCGCACTCAGTCTCAGTGCACTTGTCCTGAACTGTGTACCCAACGCACTGACTACCTCCAAATTAAATAACAACATCGGGTAATCACAACAAAGCATACGCGTAAACACGTAACATTGTTATCAAAGTTGAAAATACAGTAGTTCATAGAAAAAAATCGTAATTACATCGGTATCTTGAATTTCCAATGTCAGATGTACCGACGAGTACGATTACTATGCGATATTTCATTGATTGTTGTTAGTGGTTTACGCAATTCCGGAATGCTATCTTTTCCGAGAGATATGAGTCAGGGATTTATTACTAATACAATTAGAACTATGGCAGTTGCGGTCATGTCCTCGGAATTTTACCATCTTCACTTAGCAGTTCATGTCTGCGTTGTTGATAAAATAAAGAGCATTATAATTTGATATGAATATAATACTTTCTTCGTGTTTTAAGACTAACGCCAATTCTTGTGCGATTGTGAGGCCGTAATCCGTGATATTGACCACCAGCTATTTCGTCATCTTTTAAAGGACCTTTCTAGTTGTTTGGTGTCTCTTTTTTTTAATTTTTGCTTTTCTGGCTCTTCTCTCACTGTCTATTCGTATAACATGCTGGTTTCATTCTTGGTTTCTTTGTCTTTTAACCCTTAGCTGACTATTTTTCTCATAGACTCTGCACGTTTATTAACTTCTGCGTTTCTCGCCACAAATTTTTCGAGTAAAAAGCTGTAGTCGCAGAACACATAGATGGTCCATGGTTATTTTTTATAAAATAGTAGACGTTTGTGGAGTAAATTCATACATTATGTTTACTTCGATTCCCTAAAATAATTGGACTAGATTCAAATTTATAGAAACCCTGGCCGATGAACTCGTTTTCTCACATTTGGCAACTGAAAAATCTGATCGGAAGTATTCTTGATATTCCCGAAAATAAAGCCAACGAAGAAGAAAAGTTTGAAATAAGAAAATATTGCTCATCTGTCCATCCATAGTTCTAATAACCGACGACCTAAAGGAAGCCAACGAAATGCTACAAGATTTACAACGAGTCTCCCAAAAAGTAGGGCTGGAAATAAACTTTGCGAAAACTAAAATGATGACCAACTTAGTACCTAGTGGACCATTGAAACTAGAAAACTGGCATATTGAAACGGTTGACAAATACATATATCTGGGCCACGAAATACAAATAAGTAGAGACAACCAAACATGCGAATTATCTAGAAGAATAGCTTTAGGATGGGCAGCCTATGGCAAGCTAAAAGACGTGTTTAAGGTAAACATCCCAATAAAGCTAAAGAGAAAAGCATTTAACCAGTGCGTACTTCCGGTGCTCACTTATGGAGCTGAAACACTGACATTGACTAAAGCATCAATAAAAAAGTTACAAGTAGCACAACGAAAAATGGAAAGATCTATGCTTGGCGTAACTTTGAGAGACCGAATACGAAATGATGAGATACGGCGAAGAACTGGAGTGGAAGACGTCATAAAACGGATTACGAAATTGAAGTGGAAAGGGTCAGGACACGTCGCAAGACAGAGAGACAACAGATGGACAAAGAAGATTTTAGAATGGCGGCCAAGCGCAGACAAGCGAAATCGTGGAAGACCACCTACCAGATGGACGGACGACATTAAAAGAATAGTGACGAACTGGATCGCAGCTGCACAGGACAGAGAAGAGTGGAGACATCTTGAGGAGGCCTATGTTCGACAGTGGACAAATTTGGCTGTGTGATGATGATGATGATGTCCATCCAAATTAAGAAGAAAGACTTCATATTTAGGCACAATGTATCAAAAACCCATATGTTTCCAATTATTTCGAAAAATTTGTATAAATTGTACCAAGGTAGAATAGATTTTTAACGTTTTTTTTGCGATTTGAGACATAGTGCAAAAGGTAAAGGATAAACACTTATAAAGGCAGATATATTAATGAAGAAAAATCATGGATGACAGATGAGAACCTGAAACTAATGGACGAGAGAAGAGAAGCCAAAAATGATCCAGACAAATATAAAACCATAAATATATTAATAAGAACGAAAATCAAAGAAGCGAAAGAAAAAGGAGCAAGGGAAAGATGCGAAGAAATTGAGACTCTGCAGTCAAAGTACGATAGTCACGATGTACATAGGAAAGTTAAAGAAATCACAGGGAGACTAAGATGAAGGCAGAGAGGAAATATAACTGATTCTGACGGAAACATCATTTTGGACAAACAGAGTAAAATAAAAACGTGGAAAAAATATCTAGAAAAACTATTTAAAGACCAAAGAGATGGCCTTTGAGCTAGAAGAAGAGGTAAATGATGGACCAAGAATATTATAGCAGGAAGTATATATCATCTATACCATCAGAATGGCTGAAATCTGAGTGTATTGCCCTTCCAAAAAAAAACCAGGAGCCAAAAACATACTATAAGCCTCATGAGTCAGCTCCTAAAATTTTTTCCTAAAGATAATTCATAACAGAATCTACAAGCTGTGTGAAAGTCAAATTTACCCCAACCATATCAGAGTTCACAAATGCTGTTGGTACTAGAGGCTTTGTTCTCAGTACAAGTGTTACTCCAGAGATGCAGAGACACCAACTGCGACGTATACGCATTTCTGGTTAATTACGAGAAAGCGTTTTATCGAGTACAGCACGCCAAAATGATGCAAATACTAAAAGAAACAGGAATTAACAACCAAGATCTGAAAATAATTAGAAATCTTTACTGGAATCAGACAGCAAATTTCAGAGTTAAAGGTGAACACACTGACTATGTGAAAATCATGCGTGGAGTGAGGTAAGGCTGTATTTTGTCTCTTCTTATCTTAAATCTATACTCTGAAAGAATATTTATTGAAGCTTTGCACGAAACTGAAAAAGGTATTCTACTAAATGGATACCGGCTAAACAACATCAGATATGCAGATGACACCATAGTATTTGTGGACAACTTAGAAGACCTACAAGTTCTTATGAACAAAATCACGTATTAGAGTTAACAATATGGACTCAATATAAACGTTAAGAAGACAAAGCTTATGATAATTAGCAAGAAAATGATATCAGAAGGTCAATTCTACGTCAACCAATCCCCTGTGTGACGTACTACAACTACCTCGGTACCATAATAAATGAAGAATGGACCAAGAACTAGGAGATTACAGCACGTATCGGAAAAGTTAGGTCAACCTTTAATCGGATTAGGGGCCTTCTTTAAGAGTCACAACTTCTTGCTTGATACAAAAGCAAGAAAAGCTTGCTTTTGTATAAAGCAAGAATGCTGCGATGCTACGTCTTCTCTGTCCTTTTTTATAGTGTTGAATCGTGTACCTTGAACGAAGATATGTGAAGAAAATTGGAACCATTTTAGATGTGGCTATATCGGAGAATGTTTAAGATCCCGTGGACTGACCGAGTCACAAATGAGGAGGTCCTCAGAAGAATGAATTAGAACTGAGAGGTACTGACCAATGACCACCATCAAATCTGGAAATTTACAGTTCTTCGGACATATTATGCGAAATGAATCTAAATATGCTCTCCTTCAAGCCATCCTGCAAGGAAAAATATTTGAAAAACGAGGTCCAGGAAGAAGAAGAACATTTTGGTTAAAGAACCTCAGAATATGGTTCGGATAGGCACATCAAGAAGAAGAAGAATCTATGCCATATACCAGTGTTTTTTCTAAAATTTGTTTCAGGGTTGCAATCTGATAAATTGTCGATTTATCACCCCTGAAACCTGCTTGGTATTTTCTCACTATCTGTCCAATATCAAATCTTCAGAATTCATATCCGAAATTGGACAGTATAATTTTATCACCCAGTAGACCGAATGAATTTATTTGTTATTAAATACACACACCTAGTTAATTAGGTTACATACACATTTGGCCAATTATCAATAATATAATTTGGACATCAGTCAAAAGTGCTGACAAAAGTTAAACAATTTAGATAAATTAGATACACATATCACGCGAGGTCCGCGAATATATTGACCCAATTAAAACTTATATAAAACTAAGATCTCTTGCCTAGCATTCAATCAATATTCACTCAACAAACTTGATAGTCTTCAACGATCAACTTCATCAGTCTCTACTCAAAGTAATCCCGGGTCAACACCCATAGTATACGTCTCATCAATAAACTCTGCTACTATTATTTGGTATTTCCATTACAACTGAACGAACATCTTCATTGAGCCAACGAAGGGGAATTTGTTCACTATCCGTTCTGCATATGGTACCATACGGTGATATAGTACTGTGGAAAATATTTTATACGCTGCATTTAGAAGCGTAATTCCTCTGTGCTTACAGCATTCAAAGAGATCTAATTTTTGTGGATGGTGCAAAGTATTCCAATATTCCACTGATTATAAAGGGATTTTTGTGTCCATATTTCTTTTATAGAATAGAATAGAATAGAATATTCTTTATTAATCCCATCAGATCACATTGTGATATAGGACAAGTTATATAGTACATAAAGCATAATCAACAAGTTATATACGACAATTACATAAAACAAAATCAATAAAATAAAGATTAATATAAAAATAAAAAACAAAGATATGCAATATAGAGCGTCTCTGAACCCGTCGGTCCTTATTCTGCTTATATAAGCCGCTGTATTGCCATTTTGATGTCAAAACATCGGAATAGTTAATAAATGAGGAAGTTTTATTATGTCAACTATGTATTTAAAAATTTACTAGTCAAATGTTTTTTTAAAATGAAAAAAATATTGCCATTTTCAAAATTTTTTTTTCTCACTTTTCTTACCCTTCAACATCAAATTTCGCCATACTATTACAAAATCCTTATCACATTTAAAGATTTTAAGCTAATAATCAATTTTACTTACAATTAGGGATCAACTTCACACGAACGAGTGCCCAGAACTTGAAGACGATATGTACTGAACATGTTACAATCAAAAATAGCACCCAGAAAAATGCAGATATGTGTAGTTTTGCAAATGAATCTCTTATTAGGTGGAAACCAAGACTGACTCTGAAACAAAAAAAAAATAAATTAATAATAATTAAATAACAGACAAAAAGTGGCGCAGTAGACGGTACAGTAGTACTTTTTGTATATTCGAAAGTACATAAAACTGCTGTTCGTGACACTAGTTTCGTGATGATCGCCTCAGCATTTTACTATAGAGAAAAAGTAATATAACGCCAGTAGCGAAGCTTCGCTTGTATATATATATATCTAACGAATTTATTGAATGGTGTGTCAGTCAGTCTGGTGAGTTATTTATTTTGTTTATCGCCACCATAACCAAATAATTGATGGATTCGACCGTTACTTGATGGAAATTTATTTTATGTAACAATAAAACACTGACTTTATTTTCAAACTTCCACGAAATTTATTTTAACTATTAACACTACAGCTGTTTCGCTTGATGCCTTTCTCAAGTGATCACTCAAAAAAGGTTAGTCTTCGTAAATGGGTATACTTATTTAAAAACCCTTAAAAGTTCTACATCAAAAAAACAAACGTTTTCGGACTAAACAATCCATCATCAGGTTTAAATTTTAAAATTGCTAGGTTATAATGCATGAGCCACCAAAATACCTGGGTAAAAACCCTTTAAATTACATATAGTTGTAAAAGATTATACATCATGTTGTAAAAAACTGTGATGTTCAGTATTAAATTAAATATGACTTCAGGTAATATACATGGCTGAAGTGAGTGCCAGAGCCGAAGAGTAAACCTCTTCACACGGAGAACAGCTGGTAACTGGAAGCTCTACACTTAAATCAAATCATAACTGTCTTTTTTATATTTTTATTTACTTATGTTTTGAGTATAAGAAATCAGTTTGCGAAAGGTTCTTGCCTAAATACATTGATATGTTATGGAATGCATATTGCAGATTCCCCATGCTAGTCCATTAATTGTCTGTATTGCTTTAAAAATTGTTGAAATCCCAGATTTGGGCAACTACCTAAATTTTGGTTTCAAACACTAAGAAATCTTCGGATTTACGACCGTTTATAAAAAATATAAATAATATTTGTACACAATTTGTACAAATGTGTGGACAAAATGTAAAAACATAATAACTGAGAAAGCAACAAAAATATTGGGGAAAACCAAACCAGTTAAAGAAAACGAATGGTTTGACTAGGAATGCCAAAAAGCAACAGATACCAAAAACATGGCATACCTAAAGACAAATAAAGCTGGATGCACAAGAAGAGCAAAGGAAGAATACCGGACCCTAAGAAGAGAACAAAAACGATTACATAGAAAAAAAAAAGACAATTTGAGCAAAAGCAGTTGGAAAGCACACAATGGCTAAGAAATCAAAATGAAACTCGAAAGTTCTATAGAAATCTAAACAAAATGCGCAAAGAGTTTAAGCCGAGAATAAGGAGCTGTAAGGATGTGGAAGGAAACATCCTAAATGATACGGCCTCAATCCTAAACAGATGGGTGGAATTTTTCGATGCAAAATTTAGTGGCCATCATATCGAAGAAGCAGATAACACCCTAGCAAATCGAAATGATTGGAATCTTTTCAACCCAAACGAAAGACCACCTACCATCGAAAGCGTTGCCCAAGCTATTAAAAAGCTTAAAAATAATAAATCACCAGGAGTTGATCAAATTTGCAGTGAGCTCTACAAGAATGGTGGCGATGCCCTACTACAGACACCGCATAAGCTTTTACTTCTTGTTTGGCATAATGAGACCATGCCTTGTGAATGGTCTCAAGACGTGATATGCCCGTTACATAAAAAAGGTGACCAGCTCCAGTATGACAATTATAGAGGTATAACCCTGTTAACAACTACTTACAAAATACTATCAAATATTCTCTACGAAAGGCTGCAAGTTTACACAGTAGGCATAGTTGGTAAATATCAAGCTGGATTCACTCCAGAAAAATCAACAATTGACCAGATTCATTCAATAAGACAGATTCTCGAGAAAACATTAGAATTCAATATTGAAACCCATCACCTATTCGTCGACTTCAAGGCCGCATACGACAGTGTCAAGAGAACAGTGCTATACCAATCAATGCATGAGTTTAGTATACCAGAAAAACTTATCCGACTAACGAGAATGACAATGTCTAACTTAGAAGCCACTGTTAGAATACAGGGAGAGAGTTCTAGATCCTTTGAGATAAAGGATGGACTCAAACAAGGGGATGCTCTGGCTTGCCTCCTATTTAATATTGCCTTAGAAAAGGCCGTCCGAGATACACGAATTAGGGATGGCAGTACTATTTTTACAATAGATCGATACAAGTCTTAGCATATGCTGATGACATTGACATAGTAGGGCGTAGCAAGCAAGATGTTGAGCAATATCTCCTAGAATTGGAAACAGCGGCGAAACAGGTCGGTCTAGTCATCAACGAAGACAAAACCAAGTAAATGTTGGTTACAAAGGATCCGATAGCAAATGAGGAACGAGAAACAGTCTTTGGAAGTCATACCTTTGGACGTGTTGACAACTTCACATACCTTGGGTCGCTATTGACTGCTACCAATAAAACAAGCGAAGAAATCAAAAGACGAATCAATCTTACAAATAGGGCATACTATGGACTCCAAAAGCATTTCCACTCAAGAAACATTCAAAGAAAAACTAAAATTATTATATACAAAACATTGTTGAGGCCGGTCCTCACATATGGAGCAGAAACATGGACCCTAACGCAGAAAGATGAAAGACTTTTGGGAATATTTGAGCGTAAAATACTCCGCAAAATATTTGGAGCTGTAAAAGACCAAGGGCAGTGGCGCAGAAGATATAATTTTGAATTGTATCAGCTCTTTGATGAGCCAGATGTCATAACGTTCATTAAAACACAGCGACTTAGATGGGCTGGACACATAATACGAATGACAGACAACATAATTGCTAAAAAGCTAACCACAGGAATGCCTGGAGGAAAAAGAAGCAAAGGCCGACCGCGAATTAGGTGGTTAGATGGAGTAGAAACCGACTTACGAATATTAAAAATCAGAAGATGGCAACATGTTGCTAAAAACCGAACAAAATGGCGACGAATCTTAGAGCAGGCCAAGATCCACAGAGGATTGTCGAGCCAAAGATGATGATGAATATAGAAAACGAAAGAAATCGCTAAGAAATGAAATAATATTGTAATGTTATAAATGAATACTTACTCTCCTTTTACCATATAGTCATTTGCCAAAATACTCGTAAACAGGCAAAGTATGGTGGCAATAAAAAAGTTCTGTATCGATGCTATATGAGGTACATTGTTGCATAGTTCTTCAATTAGCGAATCCCTTGCTTCAAATTGCTTCTCTTGTAATAGCTTGTACTGTTTTTGCTTTCTGGAAAAGACAAAAAAGAATATGAAAGAAAAATTGACAAATTTATAACAAATAGTAAACAAATTGTGTAAACATTAATTATGTTTAATATAATTTTAGAACTGCCACAATTAATTGTTGTAATGTGTCTCCCAAGAAATACTAAATCGATGAGCGGCGATTTATTGTCTCAAATATTCCTTTATTGAACAAGGTTTGTCATTTTTTGTCATTCAATCCTTTATCACTCTGCATATTTGTAACTAATTTTAAAATATGAAACTGACAGCTACCTACTATTTATGTAAATAAATTTTTTGGTAAAAACATCTATCTTTCTTATAATAACAGATATAACGGACTTTGTAGCAAAAGTTGATCACCCTCTATAATAAAATTACTGTATTTATCAGTGACCGGCTAGTACTAATAGTGTAAAAAAGTAATTGGTTAATGTAAATAAATCAAATAAGTATTTTAATTCTAATTTTAAATGTAATCTATATCATTATTAGCAAATGACAACATTACTGTTTTTATCGAAAATGGAAACAAAAATACTCCGTTGCAAATTATTATTTAATCACTTTGTTTTTGACTTGATAATAAATTACTAGCTTTATATCTAGCAATAAATAAAATAATTTTAACAAAAATATTCAATAATCTAAACAACGTTCAGAAAGATTTTAGAACACTCGTATATTCCTCTGTTATATTCGAGGATGAAAAGGACTTCGTAGGGTTGGTACATAGGGTTGCCGGATGCGAGAAAACCCGCAGAATGTAGACTTGCATTGCATACAAAGAATGAGAGAATGATTCTCTCTCCGGTTGCCGATAATAATGTAGAGCGTTAAAATAAATTTTATTAATTTTAAAACTGTTTGCCCTTTTTTTAGTGTAGTATTACGTACAATCTATGTTTAATTTCATGTTTATTACATTTTGCGCTTGCTGGATAGCCCAAATTTGACGAAATGCCCCTGATGATGCTGTAGAAAGCGAAAGTACTTGGGCAAGATTTGATTATTAAATTTGTGCTCGATATTTGCCTTAATTTTCAAAGTTCATTTATTCGAGCATTCAACCTCATATCAAATATTTAATGACAGTCTATTTATATAAAGCTGTTAAATATTTTTGACTTCTCTTCTGTAAATCATCATATCGTGATGGATTGGCACATTTTCGCTTTTAATTAAATCTGATCCAAATCTACTTGTCGTCATTTGCTTGTATTTTATCAAGCATTGTGCTTCTATTTCTCAATTGTTAAATTAAAGGGTGACATATTGCCTACTGTTAATATGTTAAAATAGCAATTTATGGAAACAATATAAATTTTTATTTAACTTTTTAAATAGCAATTAATTACCGGCAAATTTGTATTCTAAATGCAAATCGATATTTTATTAATTTAAGTGTTGCATATTATATATTTTATTTTATTATTTCACATGATTCTAAAAAGATAGACATTTTAAAGAAATTAAAGACTTTATTTATGCTCGATATAGGTCTACCTTCCTTCATCATTCTCTTTGACGTTAAGCCATGCGGAGTTGGTTACTGTAATTACATTTTTATATCCTGTCATGGCATTGCTCTAGCACCTGGTATTTTGCTCCTATTCCTTTTAGTAACTTGTGACTCAACGAATCTTTGTACTAAGAGACTATCATTCGCAAGTTAAACATGCCCTTGTGGTGGCACACGTAGACATCCCTTAATATCTTTGTTTTAATTTTATGTGCATATTTCCCACTTAATGACAGTTAAAAAAAGTGCTATCAACTTTGATCCCCATAAACAAAAGATTTTTGAATGCACAAAATCAGATCAGTCACAAAATTTCAGCAAGTACACTTAACAGCAAAAAATACTTGTATACACACAAATATTTAATAAAGATTACTTTAGTGAATCCTGAGTCTAAACAACAACAACATGGTAAAAACAGCATGGTCAAACTCTTTAAAAACCACAACCTTAATATGGAGATAAAAGTAAGGCGATGTTATACCATGTGGTCCATATGTATGGAATAAATTCATTTTTAGCGTTATTATGTACTATGTGAAAAAAACCTGAAACAGGTCGATTTTTATTCTTAAATTGACAATTTACAGTATAAAAATAATATCCCCCTCAAGCAACCCCTTTGAATTATAAGCACCCCCTCGAAAATTTTAAATAGCAACGGGGGTCGTGTAGCATCTTGTTAGAAAGGGATTTTAGTCATCTGTTCAGCAATATAAAGTTTTTTGAGTTTGTTCAATTATAACTTACAAAATTAATTTTTTAAATATTAAATTAAATGTTCAACTTGACCACTATTACTCACTTCTTGACAATAACCGAGGCGATTTTGGAATTCTCATACAACATTTTGTATGACCTCGGGGGTTATTTTGTTAATTTCTTCTGTTCTGCTAAACATTGGGGAAAAAACTTTGAAGATAATAAAATATTAGTCAAAAAGCCAAATAAACAATTGATATGAATCTAGTAGACTGCTGTCATTTGGGTATTTAAGGTTACTAGAAGACGTGAATTAGGGCTCATTTGTTCAAGACTAAAAGAATAGACATTTTAACTATGATTGGTTGTGGTAAAAAACAAGAGCTCAAAAGGAGGTTTGTGAAATGTTAATAATGAATACCCTGGTCAACAAATTTACTGGACCAACTGGCCAACGTTATACTGGACATATAAAAATATTGAAAAACCAGGTAGAAATAATAAATGTATCGATGAAAAAAAGTTAGATGTACTTCTAGAGATTGAGGAAAATCCGCATAAGACAACTCGAGAACTTCCGCCATCAATGATGTAAGTAAATCATCTATTTTGAGAGTTTTACATAAAAAAAAATACCACTCTTACAGAGTTCAGTTGGTTTAGGAGTTAAATGAAGATGATCCTGATAGAAGGCAAGAATTCTGTGAAATGATAATGGACAGAATGAACGCAGATTTGCAGTTCATAAACAAAATAGTTTTTTTTTTCTGATTAAGCGACGTTTCTTTTAAACGGAACGGTTAACAAACAGAACTGTAGTTATTGGAGCAGAGAAAATCCTCACTAAGTGTGTGAGACTCATACGCAATATCCTAAAAAATTAACGATTGAGCTGTTATTATTAACAATAAAATTATTGTTCCTTATTTTTTTGAGGGTGCAGTTGATGATGAGGTTTATCTAGATTTTTTGATTAACTTTTTGGTGCCTACATTACGAATATTTTTTCCTAATATTAGTCATTCAAATTAGATAGACTACCTTTTTACTACCAACAAGGTAGAGCTCTACCGCATTTTGCACTTATAATTAGAAATTATTTAAACGAGGTTTTTCCCAATAGGGGATTGGAAGACGTTGAACAATCGAATGGCCGGCTAAATCCCCCGATTTGATTCCTCTCGATTACTTCTTATGGGGTTATTTAAAATCTAAAGTATAATTTACTAGACCAAACAGTATTGCTGATTGAAAAGTTGGGATTAAGTATGAAAATTCCAAAATCGCCTCGGGTATTGTCAAAAAGTGAATAGTGGTCATTTTGAACATTTAATTTAATTGTAAAGTACATTGAAAAATACATTCTATTATCTTCATTCAACCTAAACATTTGACATTATTATTATTATCTTCATTCAACCTAAAGTTTTGTGGTAAAGACATTATCAAAGTTTTACATTTTGAAGATCAATTTTCTAGGTTATTATTGCACCAAACATAACAAACTTAATATTACTGAACAGAGGACTATAATCCCTTTTTAACAAGGTGCTACACGACCCCCTTTGCTATTTAAAATATTCGAGGGGGTGCTTATAATTCAAAGGGGGTGCTGAAGGGGAATATTATTTTCATACTGTAAATTGTCAATTTAAGAATAAAAATCGACCTGTTTCAGGTTTTTTTCACATAGTACTTAATAATGCTAAAAATGAATTTATTCCATACATGTGGACCGCATGGTATCTTCTCGATAATATATTACGGAGTTGTATTCTGGAAACACACTGAAGCGATGAAGAAAAAACTTAAAGCCTTCGAGATTAAAAGGAGAAAGTTAGAATATTTTGGACACATAATGCGAAAAGGCACTAAATACAGATCACTGAAAATAAACGGAATTTCACGGAAAGAAACGGAAAGCGAGGAATTGGGAGAAGAAGAATATCATGGTTAAAAAACCTAAGAAAATGGTTCTCCACAACAGCATCTAATTTGTTTAAAGCATTAGTTCATAAAATAATTATAGCCAGAATGATTGCCAATATTCCAAACGAATAGGCAACAAAAGAAGAAGAACTTTGGTCATGTAAAAAAGAGGTACAAGATACGAAAAACTGCGACTCATAATAGACGTAAAATAGATGATAAAAAGTCATTAGAAAAACGCTAGAATTCAAAGAAGGCCTAAGGAAAAAGCTCCCAGGAAAGAGACCAGAGGAAGGATACGTAAAAGTGACTGGATAAAATATGTGAGAACTTTGAAACCGCAAAAATCAGAAATTTTTAACTATTTATAAAATGCAAAAAGAGTCGTAGGGTTAAGAAAAGAAGAAAAAGAATCTATAGTAAAAATATGGAAAAAAACATAACAAGTAACTGAAAATTGTTGAAATCATGAATTAAACACCATAAAATATGTTGAAATCATAGAATCTATTAATTTATATCTAATATGTGCAATGCAGATTTAATAAAATTAAATATTTGTACTTACACATTTCCATTCATTTGTTTATTGTAATGACCATTCTGCGTAATGGTATTCTTCGAATTGGGACTCATATTTGCTAATGCTTCTTTTCCGACTGTAACTGTTTCTAACTGTTAACTAACTCCACCAAACCAGTGATGCTCCTGGAAAGAAAAAACAATAAAAGCGTCAGCGCTGTACGCGTACTTTCGAAATACATACGACACTTATACTGTCGTATCTAATGATGAATTATCTGTAAATAATAGACTTCATCGTTTATATATTTTATCTGAATACGATATATTATATCTATCGTAATAAAATTTGAAATTAAATTGATAACCTCATCTTCAAATCATTTTTCCGCATTTTTTAAATGAACGATAAGAACAACGTGAACTTTGAACTTCATATAAAAATATATAGAGGCTTGAAGTGCAAAAAATGTATCAAAATAAAGGACAAAATATATTTAAAAAAAGTTAAACCAAACAAATAACTGTGAACGATTATCTAACAATAAGTATTGTTCGTGTGAAATGAATCCGTATGCCTTTCAGGGTCTAATAGTCCCTACATTTTATATATGTATTCATGTGAATAGGAGAAATATGATCTATATAATAGAAAACCGGTAATATATCTTAGTATGCGTAAAAAAGGCGGGATGAGTAACAGCTGCCATGCTCAAAATGCAAAAGCAAAATTTCGTCAAAATAGTCCCTAACTTCGTTCCTATTGGCCATAGAAGGTTTTTTTAAATGTGAGTTTTTTTACCAGCTATCCAATTGTTGTATAGTTACATTACATTATATACCTACATTAGATGCTTTAAAACAACGGCTTACTAATGATGATACACAAATAAACTGTAGCTGCATTAATCTTTGGAGGATTTTGTCTAAAATGGGCTTCAGATATCGTACAATTGACAAAAGGCAAGTGCTTATGGGGTCCCATCGTTTACAAAAGTGGCGTACTGAATATATAACTTTCATAAGAAAGTACCGTACACAAGATTGACCAATAATTTATCTGGACGAGACATGGTTTGACACTCAAAAAACACCATCCAAAGGATGGTCCGATTCTTCCAACAGGTGTCAAACAAAAGCTCCATCAAACAAAGGGAAAAAAATAACAATTTTACACGCAGGATCAGAAAATGGTTGGGTCCCAAATGCCTTATGGCTTTCTGTAAAGAACATGAGGAGGAACATGGACTACCATGAGGATACAACGGCAGAGCTTTTTGAGCAATGGTTTAAGAATTGTCTTATACCTAACCTTCCTCAAAATAGTGTGATAGTAATGGACAATGCAAGTTACCACAGATGTCAATTACATAAGTCTCCAAGTGCAAATAACACGAAAATTGAAATTAAAAACTACCTGTTAGAAAACGATATATATTTTGAAGAAAGTTATTTAAAAAATGAACTGTATATGTTTGTGACGCATTGGCCGCGGACATGGGACATACAGTGTTGCGGCTTCCGCCCTACTATTGTTTATTTAAACCCATGAGCATATGTGGCACCAACTAAAGTCAAATGTTAGGTGACAAAATGTTTCTCCGACAAAGTGGTAGTGTAGTCGAATTAATAAGGAAATGTGTTGATGATATCTCCCCAGAAAGTTGGAAAAATTTAGTACGCCATGTAATGAACGTAGAAAACTCATCTGTTACTTTGAATCACATAATTAAACCAATTGTTATTAATCTTGAAGAGGATAGCGACAGCGAACAGAATTAATGTCTTAAAAGCTTCAGATATCTGCGAAAAATTTTTCGACCTTTTTTTTAACCACATTGGGCTAAAAATATATGCCAAAAATGTATGCTAGTATGCTTAATGTATCTGATGTTAGGACCTAGACCTGATATTAGCTATGCAATAAATTATTTAATTATATTTCAAGATTAAAACAGAAGTTAGGTATGGATAAGTCTTAAAATAATGTTAAATTATTTAAAGGGGACTAGAAATATAAACCTGATTTTTAAAAGAAATATACAAGACAAACTTTTTGTTTGTTATGTAGATTCCGATGGGCTAGAGATGTAACAGATAGAAAATCGGTTACAGGTAACTTTTTTTCGTAAAGTTTTTGGAAATACGATTGCATGGGTCACCCAAAGTTAATCTTCTTAAATAAAGGCTAACGACAGGGGTGCTCATTAGTATCGACTATTGAAAAAAATATATTTAGAAGAGGTGTTGAAAAATTGAAAAAAGAAATTAGGTGAAGTAGGAATTTTCGTAGGAGATAAAACCTACTACACCTTACCCTTTAGTAAGACTCCAAAATGGAGCCTTACAGTAAATACAAAAAAAATGAGTACAATCGTTGATTGAATAATCCAAATTATTCATATCGGATTATTGGATTATTCAATCAACGGTACAATACATAATATTTTAAGTAAAGATTCCTACCTACCAAAATTCCAGTGTTTAATGTAAATATGTTCTAGTATCTGGCGCAAAAAAACTTTTGTTATTATATTAGTTGAAGGAAAATTTGATAATAGAATCTATTGTCAAGATTTAATAGCAATTGTAAGTCATTGTTATCCAAAATAATAAAGTTATCACTGTGATAAAACCGAAAAAAACTCTAGCAAAATAAATAAAAAGATAAGACATGATTTTTACAAAATAATTTTTACATTGTGCTGAGTAAACTTTGAATACAAATATCTAATATCTTACCTTCAAACGAAGTTTATAATAGACCATAAACTTTTCTCCAATCGACACTAATATATCTAATATTGTATTACTTCACACTAAATACAGACAGATAATGGTTGTATAATGATTTAATAATATTACCTGTCTCGATAGAAAATTTTGGTGGCAACGCAATTACAAAATTTCCAAGAACTGAAAGGTTTACATTACATTTAATAGATATCAGTAACTAACGATTTTAAAATATTCCACAAAAATTTGAAAATATGTACACAGTGTTCGAACTTAGCACTCTAGTGAAAGAGTCATTTCTTTATATGAAGTAAAGGGAGAGGAAAAATAAGTACAAGGAACTGATTGCATTGATGGTTGATCAGGAATAATATATGACGAATGTGAAGTAAGGAATAAAGATGATGATTAGGTACACTGGACAAAAAAATTTGTCCCAAAAATGTTATTGATTGATGAAGATAGTACTTTTTGTAGGTGATCCACAAACGATATTAGTTTTTTTCTTTCACGTATAGTTCTCTTGTGAAAGTCAAATACAAATAACACATTTTTTTTACTTTACAGGTTTTTTTGAAGAATTTGCTTCTTCTACGTCACTTTTAAGTATCTAGCAGTAGCGAGCTAACATTTTTGTACTCCATATTACTCGATATCGTTTGTTCATACTTCAAATATCTTGAGCGAAGCAATCTCCATGTTCATTACTAACTCACTAACTAATCTCCAAGATTTTGTGTCAAAAAGTCCAAATGGGAATCGAAGAAAAGGAAAAGCATTTTAAGAGACATGTTGCAGCCCAAATCACTGTAGACTTTCAATAGATTGATGGCACATTGCTTGTAGTTGATTGCTTTTTAATTAACTTAACAGCTGACAGAACACAGATTATTCGTTATGGAAGGCAACAAAAAAACATGAAGATACCGATTATTCATTCTCCTCTTATCAAGTTGGAAAACGACAACTGGGCTAGAAGTAACGAACAGAAAGCAGAATGATTTGCAGATCATTTAGAAAGCACGTTCAAACCCAACGACAATGACGATGAAGAACTAAGATAAAAAAACCATTTTAAACCAAAGTAAGAATAACGTTGACATCATTTAGAGAAGTATCAACAGAGATAAAAGAGAATATAAATCCTAAAAAAGCTCCAGGATATATTCTCATAACAGGAGAACTATTAAAAATCTATCAAGAAAAGCCATAGTTAAGCTGACAAACCTAATAAATGCTGCTTTTAGATTGAGATATATTCCCAAACTCTGGAAAGTAGCCGAAGTCATTATGATCGCCAAACCAGGTAAACCGCCTAATGAACCAATATCCTATAATATCAAAATATCCTATATAATATGAACAAATATCCAATAACTCCTATCGACCAATATCACTCCTTTCGGTGGTATAAAAACTATTTGAAAAATTTCTATTGAAAGGATTAAAACCAATAATAAAAAGAAAAAATCTTAAACCGAATCATCAATTTAGTTTCAAAAATAAACATTACACTGTATATCAAGTTCTCACAGAATCACAAATATAATATAAAAAAACATTAGAAGAAAAGAAGGTCTGTTCTACAGTCTTCTTGGACGTAGCACAGGCGTTTGATAAAGTTTGGAATGATGGTTTAAACTATAAACTAATAACGTTTATGCGTAGTCAGTATACAGAAATCTTGGAATCATACATTGCGAACAGATATTTCAAAGTAAAACAAGATGAAGTGTACCCCGATTTAAAGAAGATCAAAGTTGCCGTGTCACAAGGAAATGTATTAGGTCCGGTTCTGTACCTTTCGTATACGTGTCAGCTATTCCACAGCTAAAACAAAATACTACAGCTACCGTCGCAGATAATATACTAGCGATAGCGACACTAGTGAAGAAGCGACTGATAAGTTGCAACTATCAGTAAATACAATACACACCTGGACCAGAAACTGGCGAAGAACATTAAACGGGACTAAATCTGCACAGATTAAGTTTACAAATACAAAAATTAAAAATTTCATAGTTAGAAAAAATAATACCCAAGTTCCTTATGCAACATCAGTAAAATTCTTGGGCATCACCCTAGACGCGAGGCTGCGCTGGAACGACCATATCCAAATGAAAAGAGGGGAGCTTGATACTAGATATAAGAAATTGTATTGGCTGATTCGAAAGAATCCATCATTATCCATTCATGATAAATTATCCATTTACAAGCCAGTATTGAGGCCAGTATGGGTATATGGGTGCTAACTCTGAGGCTGTACCAAAGCTAATTAATAATCTACATATCGTCGTCGACACAAGAAAACCGGTTAACTCCAATTTTTACTTAAAATGAGATTTCACTGCCAACTTTTAGCAAATCGCCTATTCTAG